AAGTACTCGTATTAAATACTCTTCAAAAAAACTGAATTAGGTTGTGAAACTAATAAAGCATTGATTTACTTGTATGCGTATGAGCTTAAGCGACCGTAGACTATGTGGATGTTTCACGGTGAACTTAGTCCCACAAATATTGTTCGCGCTCGAAACAGTTGGAGGCAAATGATTACTCAATTCTTCGGAAAAAGTATGTATGCCAACAGTGCCGTTAGAGCAAAACAGAGCATCCAAATTAGGTTTTGTTTGTTAAAAGCGTTTGGAGAAATAATTAAACCCGACGATCATTGATTGTTGGGTTCAGACAATACGAACTCTCATACATCGAGTGTAATAACCAAAAGCAGATAATTCTCAACCAGGAAGTATTACACATCCGCTCAAATAAGTGACGTAGTTTAGAAGATACATTTCTGCGTTGATGCATTCAGGGTTTGAACTTTGAAAGTGTATTAGTCGAAATAAAAAAATGCTCTAATAAATGATTTCAGTACATAAAAAAGTGTGTAGATCATAAGAGATAAAAATGTATTTTAAAAACCTCGAAAAGTCATTAGTCGAAAATCTGTGTTTTTATCATTAAACTCGTAATATACATATATAGTGATAAGGATATAAAATTTTTTGGCTTTATCTGCCTTAATGTTTGTTTATTCAAACATCATAAACAAAGTGAACTTTAAAGTGCTTTACGATATCTTAAGTGTCATATGAAATTATTTTGCAAACCAAATATGATTCTCAAACAAATACTTTATTAAAGGACATCTGAGTTTATTTCATTTTTATATAGGTATAGCAGTCTATGATATTATTATAAGTTAAATGAAATTAAAAACAAAAATGTATTTTGTTATTTAACTACAAAATAATAAACAGTTGATCTATACATGTGAACTGTGCTCTCTATATTTTAATATATGATATTTATTTAAACTTTTTAGAATACTGTGCTATCTATATTTTAATATATGATATTTATTTAAACTTTTTGAAATACTCAAGCAAGTACATTCCGAAATGTTTAGAAGTAATAATGAGCAGTATTGCATAGTCCCAAAGAAAACAGAAATTTTAAATAGTGTAACGACTTTATATTAAATAATAGATTTTTTATATACGTACATAACAATTTGTAATAATTTTATTTTATTTTTTTTTTACAGATTTGCGACTTTCTAAGACATTTTACACGTCTATCGGACAAGTTCTTATTATTATATTTTTATTCAAAGTATAAACCATATGGAGTAGATCATTTGGAAGCTATACAAGTGTGCTATAAGTTTGTTCTCGAACATAAAGATAAATTAACTGAAGAAAAACAGATAGAACGAGTAACAGACGTTGTACGCAAGTATGCCATTTTGAAAACAGAACACATCTTGCACGTTAATGGGTTCACAGAAAAAAACTTTCTATCCACAGCTAACAACCCACTCAATCTTATAAGTGAACTATATCGATCTGAGCGTATATTGAGTAAAAACTTATCTAAGGTTATAAGCGTTGCAAATGAAATAGCGAAATTGCACTCAATCAATTTGGAAGTGATTCAATGTCAATTGTTAGAAGAATGGCTCAGTTTCGGAAATTACAGTGAAGTCTATTTGGACTGTGTAACAATACAACTTACGGACCCACAAATACCGGAGAATGTTTTAGTCGTATTCAAGCATCGAGCAGAAGAAAATATTTTGAAGTAATTTTAAGAAATTAAAAACCTTTTTGTTAATTAAATTTTTTTTTCGAACTTAACGAAATTTTTATCTTAACTTTTAATAATTTATTTGAAATTCAACAAATTATTGATCAGTTTATCGTTTAAGTTAAGTAAACTTTTATGTCCGATATTGAGCATTAAAAAAAGTTACTTTTGCGTAATATTGACACGTAAATGTGCTTTGTAAAATTGGCTCTTAAATTTGTAATTGTCGAACTAAGATATATTTTATTATATTTACCTTTCCTTCCAACTTTTACAGAGGAAAATGTATCCTAAATACTTGGAATGCAATAAGAGCCATGCAGTTTCTAGGAACAAAGATATTCCCAGAATACAGGTTAGTAATTTTTATTATTATTAATTTAATAATAATATAAATTTAAAATACTTAATATTTTAAAGGAACATAAACAGTAAATTTCTCTTATACATCTATAAGAAATTAACAGTTATCAACGAACTTTCTGTACCGACGGTCTATAGCTCCTATATGGGAAACAAATTTATTTATGATCTAAAACAATTCATTCATAATAATATGGTGGAAAGATTTCCATTCGTAAAGAAAATTATGTTACTTAAGATGTTACTGTGGCAAAAACTTCACAACCCAAAGACTTTAAAATATATTTCCACCCTCTGTTTAAGTATGGGCCTGCATTCGGCAAAGCTTTGGAATTGGTTACTTATGAGAATGATAGATCATAATATGATAACTGAACTTAATTTGCTAACAGAAATTTTATCACTTAAACCAGAACTGTTAAATTCGAAAGGTTTATATGCTGCTTGGGACTATATATTGGAACATCCATTTAAAACAGCTCAACAAAGGTACCCAATTAGACAAGATAAAAAATTGTCAGACACCGTACAACGAATAAAGGTAATTACAAAAATTACTATAAATTAACAATAAATTAATAAAAATTACTTAAATTTTATTACTTTTTAAATATTTCATATTATGCTTACTATGTTATATATCTTCTGTAAAAACTTGTTCAATAAGTAAAGTGCCAAATTTTTATCATTACTAATTTTCTGATACTTCAACTGAAATTTGATGAAATAATTAACGAAAAGTTTTGTGTTTCAAAATAATTTTAAAATATACACATATGAAGATGTCACTTTTTTCTTGTTTCGCAAAAATTTAAAAAAATAAAAATCGAAGTAAAATATCAAGAATTTTGAGTTGATGATTTATACTTTTTCAACATTTTATTACTTAATAAAAAAATTTAACAATTAAAAAAAATAATAAAAATATAATTAATTAATACAATTATTCTACAGCTGGTTTATGATTTCGTTCTAACATAAACACAGCAAGTGAATTTGTTAATAAAACCTTCACAGCAAATTAACAAAACTCAAGAAAAATGTGCGCACATAAAAATCAAGTACGGCTTTTGGTCAGGTGATTAAGAAGCGCTGACTCTGAGCTTAAAATTTGACAGCGCACGAGTTCGATTCCTGGTACCTGCAGTTTCAAAAAATTATTTACGAATAATTAAATACAAGAATTATTTCCAAGACCACTGATTATGAGTATTTGCCAATACTTGAAACATAAATATTCAATTAATTGAAATAATATATGTTAAAAATAATTTTTATTGTTGTACCTCACTACTTTCCGAAACTTCTTTATTAAATACCACAGTTTCTGTTAGTCATATTGACGTTAAAATCAAATTTATCAAAAAATAATTAATATTTTATATACACATTGTTAACAAAACAAAAATATTGATGTAAAACTATATTTTCTTATATATTGAACTGTTTTGTATTATTATTAGAAAGAAGAATAGAACACTAACAATATTGAGATCTATTGTAATTCACCTGCACAAAATTTTCTCTACTAATAAAAGAAATAAACCTAAAAATAACTCTTGATTCATATTCTCCGACTTCATTATTAAGTCAAATTAATGAAGGAAAATTAAAGTTAGAGAGCGGTAATATATTCGTTTATTCACAATGGCTGAACATATGCAGTTAATATTACCCATGAATCGAAATCAAATTCCTATTTTATAAGCTCCAATATTATATGAATACAATTTTAAAGACTTTTCTCATATCATTTCTATGTTAGAAATTCAATTATGCTATACCAGTTTATATGTAATTTTCATTTTTCAACAATTTGCTTTTCAGAATTGTCCAATTGTGAAACAGCTGGATCTAGTTAAGTTTCTTCAGCATTGTATACGATTGGAACGACCTCGTATCGCCAGAATTTTGGTGAAGTTGTGTAAAATATATGAACAAAAAGGAGTGACTACAGAGGTATTAAAATACATTATATAAGATTAAATTTAAAAAATATTATCCAATTTTTGATAGATGTTGAAAGCATGCAAAATACTATAACAATTAGCGGTGATATTTAAACTACAAGAGAAGTCAAATATATTCATCTTAAAGAAACTGATATGATACAATATATTTATTATTTAAAAGTTAAAAATAAAGACGTTAAAAAATGTTTAACTATAATTTATATTTTATTGTGTATTCCAAAGTAGTATTGTAGTTTAAAAATCTTTCCACAAAATCTTATCACATTTTTTACGATATTCTTCAACAGTTGCAATTTAAACTGTATTTCCATAAAGATATTAGCTTTCTCCTATGCTCCTATATATTTTATTTATACCACTGGTATTCCAGAAATGGAAGCCATTTTTGTTATCATTATATCATTATACGTCGATAACAGATGTATCATATACTCTGATCTAAATTTAGTTACAATAAAATGTCTATTAATAGTCTGCTTAACTACTTTCACAAATGAAAGATCAAATTCAATGCTGATGAAGCAAAATAGTTTTTAACACTTTTCCGAACCTAAGATAAAACAATCAATAATGCAATAAATACATGTTGTGAAACCATTGTCAAGTACAAACTAGCTGGACCAAGATATTTCTAGCATACGCGTAGGGGATGCAATGAAATATCTCAACCCAATTTTTAACTAAGCTTTAATTTGGAGACACAGTACTAAAACCGTAAATATAAATTGTACACAGATAAACATTAATGGAATTAAAACGAAACTACCCAATGCAAGCCTTCATGAAAGAGACAGAAAAAGTTTTTTTTGTTATACAAAACCACTATTCAGAATATTAACTTAATAAAAATTGTAAATATTAATTTAGTATAAAATTTTTCCTTAAACACAACTACAATCCAAAATCAATGTGACTAAAATCTAAATAATTATTTGTCACATATTATATATGTAAACTAATTTTTATTAGTATGTTATTTAACTCTGCTGTTTGATTAGAAATAAATTTTGACAATTCAATATTTTAACTTAATGAAAATTGTAAATATTTTAATTGTAAACATTTTTTTTTTTTTCGTTAACACAACCGTGATGGTAATTGTGACTAAAATCTAAATAATTATTTGTCACATATTATATAAACTAATTTTTATTAGTATTTAACTCTGCTGTTTGATTAGAAATAAATTCTGAAGGCTAGTTGACCATTTGTGGACCATTTGATTCATATTACAATTTTTATATAAAATAATAATTTAATATTATTTTTTATATTGACATAAATATTTTGGTTCAATACTTTTTAAATATTATTTATTTATTAATTATTAAATAAAGTTAATAAAGTTAATATAAAAATTAGTTAAACAATTTAAAAGTTTTTTGCATTATTCTTTTCTCACTCAATACAGCTAATGTCAATGTAAAAAAGCAATTCTAATAAATGATTGCAATCATTTATATTGCATTCGATATACATATTATCCTAAATATTATATCTGAATGTATTCTTTAACCGGGTCGGCGCGTATGCCATCCCGACACCCAAAAATTCCACGCACGAGTTATTCACATTAGGAATAATCGCAGGGTTCTACTCAACCGAATGTGCAATGGTCAAGCTTTGCCCCGAGGGAACCGCCTTCGTGATCACGGTAACCCCTACGCCAGGTAAGTATGCTTTTATATTGAAATTGGCATATACTTAATGAATTCATAATTTCAATTAAATGAAAATTAAAAAATTTTTTTCCTCTCACACAATCACAATTCAATATTTTAACTTAATCAAAATTGTAAATATTTTAATTGTAAACATTTTTTTTTTCGTTAACACAACCGTGATGGTAATTGTGACTAAAATCTAAATAATTATTTGTCACATATTATATAAACTAATTTTTATTAGTATTTAACTCTGCTGTTTGATTAGAAATAAATTCTGAAGGCTAGTTGACCATTTGTGGACCATTTGATTCATATTACAATTTTTATATAAAATAATAATTTAATATTATTTTTTATATTGACATAAATATTTTGGTTCAATACTTTTTAAATATTATTTATTTATTAATTATTAAATAAAGTTAATAAAGTTAATATAAAAATTAGTTAAACAATTTAAAAGTTTTTTGCATTATTCTTTTCTCACTCAATACAGCTAATGTCAATGTAAAAAAGCAATTCTAATAAATGATTGCAATCATTTATATTGCATTCGATATACATATTATCCTAAATATTATATCTGAATGTATTCTTTAACCGGGTCGGCGCGTACGCCATCCCGACACCCAAAAATTCCACGCACGAGTTATTCACATTAGGAATAATCGCAGGGTTCTACTCAACCGAATGTGCAATGGTCAAGCTTTGCCCCGAGGGAACCGCCTTCGTGATCACGGTAACCCCTACGCCAGGTAAGTATGCTTTTATATTGAAATTGGGATATACTTAATGAATTCAATATTTCAATTAAATGAAAATTATAAACATTTCAATGGTAAAAATTTTTTTCCTCTCACACAATCACAATTCAATATTTTAACTTAATGAAAATTGTAAATATTTTAATTGTAAACATTTTTTTTTTTTTCGTTAACACAACCGTGATGGTAATTGTGACTAAAATCTAAATAATTATTTGTCACATATTATATAAACTAATTTTTATTAGTATTTAACTCTGCTGTTTGATTAGAAATAAATTCTGAAGGCTAGTTGAGTGGACCATTTGATTCATATTACAATTTTTATATAAAATAATAATTTAATATTATTTTTTATATCGATATAAATACTTTTGGTTCAATACTTTTTAAATATTATTTATTTATTAATTATTAAATAAAGAATTTAATATAAAAATTAGTTAAACAATTTAAAAGTTTTTTGCATTATTCTTTTCTCACTCAATACAGCTAATGTCAATGTAAAAAAGCAATTCTAATAAATGATTGCAATCATTTATATTGCATTCGATATATTATCCTAAATATTATATCTGAATGTATTCTTTAACCGGGTCGGCGCGTACGCCATCCCGACACCCAAAAATTCCACGCACGAGTTATTCACATTAGGAATAATCGCAGGGTTCTACTCAACCGAATGTGCAATGGTCAAGCTTTGCCCCGAGGGAACCGCCTTCGTGATCACGGTAACCCCTACGCCAGGTAAGTATGCTTTTATATTGAAATTGGCATATACTTAATGAATTCATAATTTCAATTAAATGAAAATTAAAAAATTTTTTTCCTCTCACACAATCACAATTCAATATTTTAACTTAATCAAAATTGTAAATATTTTAATTGTAAACATTTTTTTTTTCGTTAACACAACCGTGATGGTAATTGTGACTAAAATCTAAATAATTATTTGTCACATATTATATAAACTAATTTTTATTAGTATTTAACTCTGCTGTTTGATTAGAAATAAATTCTGATGACTAATTGAGTGGACCATTTGATTCATATTACAATTTTTATATAAAATAATAATTTAATATTATTTTTTATATCGACATAAATATTATTTATTTATTAATTATTAAATAAAGAAGTTAATATAAAAATTAGTTAAACAATTTAAAAGTTTTTTGCATTATTCTTTTCTCACTCAATACAGCTAATGTCAATGTAAAAAAGCAATTCTAATAAATGATTGCAATCATTTATATTGCATTCGATATATTATCCTAAATATTATATCTGAATGTATTCTTTAACCGGGTCGGCGCGTACGCCATCCCGACACCCAAAAATTCCACGCACGAGTTATTCACATTAGGAATAATCGCAGGGTTCTACTCAACCGAATGTGCAATGGTCAAGCTTTGCCCCGAGGGAACCGCCTTCGTGATCACGGTAACCCCTACGCCAGGTAAGTATGCTTTTATATTGAAATTGGCATATACTTAATGAATTCAATATTTCAATTAAATGAAAATTATAAACATTTCAATGGTAAACATTTTTTTCCTCTCACACAATCACAATTCAATATTTTAACTTAATAAAAATTGTAAATATTTTAATTGTAAACATTTTTTTTTTCGTTAACAAAAACCGTGATGGTAAATGTGACAAAATCTAATAATTATTTGTCACATATTATATAAACTATTTTTATAGTATTTAACTCTGACTTTGATTAGAAAAAATTCTGATGACTAATGAGTGGACCATTTGATTCATTTACAATTTTTATATAAATAATAATTTAATATTATTATATAATTTTTTTCCTCTCACACAATCACAATTCAATATTTTAACTTAATGAAAATTGTAAATATTTTAATTGTAAACATTTTTTTTTTTCGTTAACACAACCGTGATGGTAATTGTGACTAAAATCTAAATAATTATTTGTCACATATTATATAAATTAATTTTTATTAGTATTTAACTCTGCTGTTTGATTAGAAATAAATTCTGAAGGCTAGTTGAGTGGACCATTTGATTCATATTACAATTTTTATATAAAATAATAATTTAATATTATTTCTTATATCGACATAAATATTTTGGTTCAATACTTTTTAAATATTATTTATTTATTAATTATTAAATAAAGAAGTTAATATAAAAATTATTTAAACAATTTAAAAGTTTTTTGCATTATTCTTTTCTCACTCAATACAGCTAATGTCAATGTAAAAAAGCAATTCTAATAAATGATTGCAATCATTTATATTGCATTCGATATACATATTATCCTAAATATTATATCTGAATGTATTCTTTAACCGGGTCGGCGCGTACGCCATCCCGACACCCAAAAATTCCACGCACGAGTTATTCACATTAGGAATAATCGCAGGGTTCTACTCAACCGAATGTGCAATGGTCAAGCTTTGCCCCGAGGGAACCGCCTTCGTGATCACGGTAACCCCTACGCCAGGTAAGTATGCTTTTATATTGAAATTGGCATATACTTAATGAATTCATAATTTCAATTAAATGAAAATTAAAAAATTTTTTTCCTCTCACACAATCACAATTCAATATTTTAACTTAATCAAAATTGTAAATATTTTAATTGTAAACATTTTTTTTTTCGTTAACACAACCGTGATGGTAATTGTGACTAAAATCTAAATAATTATTTGTCACATATTATATAAACTAATTTTTATTAGTATTTAACTCTGCT